TTTTTCTCTATGAGTTCAGCTCCCACATGATTTGGGTCACTTGTCCCCCTGTCCTTCCTCCACAAGGGGCAGGAGGCAAAAAAAAAAAAAAAACACCACAGAGGAAACACGGGAAAAAATATGTATCTTGCAGCACGATTAAACGATACCGGCCATCAAGCAAAAGCCCCCCCCCCCTCCTTGGACCACTCAAATGGAGGACCTCTATTCTATTCTATTCTCTCTTTTCTTCTCTATTCCCATTTGTATTCTATTCTATTCAATTTCCATTCTTATTCTATTTTCTCTTCTCATTTCTATTCTATTCTCTATTCTCTTCTCTATTATTTCCATTATTATTTTCTCTTCTCTATTCTCTTCTTTCTTTTCTCTATTCTATTCTATTTCCATTCTTATTCTATATTCTCTTCTCTTCTCTATTCTCTCTTTTCTTCTCCATTCCCATTTGTATTCTATTCTATTCTATTCAATTTCCATTCTTATTCTCTATTCTCTTCTCATTTCGATTCTATTCTCTATTCTCTTCTCTATTATTTCCATTCTTTTCTATATTCTCTTCTTTATTCTCTTCTCTATTCTCTTCTATTTCCATTCTTATTCTATATTCTCTTCTCATTTCTATTTTATTCTCTATTCTCTTCTCTATTCTCTTCTCTATTCTATTTCCATTCTTATTCTATATTCTCTTCTCATTACTATTCTCTCTTTTCTTCTCTATTCCCATTTGTATTCTATTCATTTCCATTCTTATTCTCTCTTCTCTTCTCATTTCGATTCTCTTCTCTTCTCTATTATTTCCATTATTATTTTCTCTTCTCTATTCTCTTCTTTATTCTCTATTCTATTCTATTTCCATTCTTATTCTATATTCTCTTCTCTTCTGTATTCTCTTCTCTCTTTTCTTCTCTATTCCCATTTTATTCTATTCAATTTCCATTCTTATTCAATTTTCTCTTCTCATTTCTAATCTATTCTCTATTCTCTTCTCTATTATTTCCATTCTTATTTTCTCTTCTCTATTCTCTTCTTTATTCTCTTCTCTATTCTATTTCCATTCTTATTCTATATTCTCTGCTCATTTCTATTCTATTCTCTATTATTTCCATTCTTATTTTCTATATTCTCTTCTTTATTCTCTTCTCTATTCTATTTCCATTCTTATTCCATATTCTCTTCTCTCTTTTCTTCTCTATTCCCATTTGTATTCTATTCATTTCCATTCTTATTCTATATTTTCTTCTCTTCTGTATTCTAATTTCTATTCTATTTCCGTTTCCATTCTTATTCTATACTCTTCTCTATTCTATTCTATTCTATACACACATACTCTTCGTCAAACTCAAACCGGACGTCACGAGTCGGGAGTGGGGGGGGCACCCTTTCCTCTATGTTTCTCCTGCCGCCGCTCTCGCGAGACTCGAGCGGCCGTTTGCGCGCGCCGCGCGGCCTCGACGTCTCGTGGGATCTGGAGGGCCCGCGCGCCGCGGCGGCGCGGGCCAGCCAAATCTCGCGAGATCCGGCTCATCCCCTCGCGAGAGTTTGGATTTGAAATGGCGGCGGGCGCGGCCTTCGGAGGCCCCGCTCGGCCCCGCTGAGGGGGCCGAGGGGTGCGGGGGCGGCCCCGTTAACCGGTTGGGGGAGTCGGGCCTTCCTCCGCCGCCGCCGCCGCCCGGCCCCTTTTCGGCGCCTCCGCGCAAGGCTGGGAGGCTCCGCTCGCATGGAGCAACTGCGGCCGCGGCTGCTGAGGACCTACTCGGGGCTGAGGGGGCGAGCGGGCCGCGGAGGGCGAGCGGAAGGCAAGGCCGGGTTGAGGCTCCTGCCGCGGGCGGCGCCCTGGATCTCGCCCCCCGTCGACCCCAAGCGCCTCTTCAGCAGCAGCAGCTCCACCGGGGACGCCTCCTGCTCCTCGCCCGCCTCCTTCGACGACGACGACTCGGATTTCCGCCCGCCCCGCAAGGCCCGCCCGAAAAGGCCCGCCAAAAAGGGGGGCCAGAAGAGGAAGAACCAGGGCCTCCCCAAGGAGAACCGGCCTCCCCCCAAAGGGGCCCAAAACAACAGCAGAAGAGCCTTCGTGCCCCCCACCCCCCTCCGCAGGAACGTCACCTGTCGACGGCCCGGGAAGGGACCCCCGCTTGGCCCCCAGGGCCCCACTCGCCTGCGGGGGGCTCCTCTGCTGTGCAGCACTCCCGAGTGTCCCCTCCTGACCCCATTGGGGACCCATAGGAGGTTGACCCGCCAGGAGGAGGAACAAGAGGAGAAGGACCCCCACAGCCCCATCTCCCATCCTCAGGGTGGCCGCCGCCCGTGGGGAGGGCCCCGAGAAGGCAGCCGGGTGTCCCGCTATGGGGGGGTCCTGGAGCTGAGCGTGCTGAAGACGGACTCAAAAGGGCAGGAAATGGGCGACTCTCTGCAGCTCTTCAGCCCGGAGGAGGAGGAGGCCAGGCCGCGTCCTCGGGAGTCGCCGGGGGACGGTTCTCTGATGGACCCTGCGCGTCCAGAGTGTGTCACGGAGACGACTGGCTGTCCCATCCGAAGCCCTTTGCAGCATTGTGAGATCCCGAGTGAGAAGGAAGCCTCCCCAGTCCCGCCAGAGCCGAGCCCGTACCGAGGATCCGATGGAGATCGTGCTCCGATGCCGTCGTCGTCGACGGAAGCAAGCCCCGCGGGCCGAAGTCCTGTTTGCGGCGTTTTCCAACTTCAAGCCCGAATGCAGGATGGCAAAATTGCACTCTCTCCCCGAAAAGAAACCCTTTTTCTTGCTCAGGAGCGAGAGCGGTGCTTTGCTCCGGACATTAATACTCCCGAGGAGATGGCTGGGGAGGTCGGTAAGCTTTCGGAAGGAGCGAGCGACCACGGTATCGTTCCCAATAGCCTCGGGTTCCAGCCGGTTGTGGTACTGGATAATCAGGTGGTTTTGAACTGGTTGGCGGATCGGTCTGCCAGAAAGCAAAAGGCTTCCCGTTCCTTGAAGAGAAAAAAGTTCTTCCGGGCCCAGTCTCCCCACGTCCTGCCTAAAACCTCCGGCTCCTGGAATAACCACCGTGTGGCCCCCAATTGTAATCCTGGAGGGACTGGCCGGAAAGCTTGCATTAGCGGCTTCAGTTCTAAACGTTGGGGGCGCCAGAAAGCCCATCGAGCGGCACACGGGCAAAATGCGGGCTGGAAACATCAAGCTGACTCTCTCCTCCTGCAGGAACGGCTGAAGTGGCAGGAGATTGAAGACCAACTTTCCGTCTCTTTCCTACCTTTGGACTCCTCCCTCAAGAACTCCAGCTTGTGGCGTAGAATCCGAGCTTCTTTTTCCCTCCATAAAAAGAAGAAAATCCTTTCCGAGGCCGAAAGCCTGAACGGTAGCGCCGCCAGCTATTATTTGGCCGAGTCTCCTCTTCACAAGGTTTGCGATACCCCTTTCACCCAAAAGCTGGGCTATTCCATCTGCCCGTCTTCCTCCATGGTGTTGCTGTCATCCATGACCTCTCTCTCCATGTCGGAGACGACCTTGACGGATGCCGAAAAAGTCTACCGGGAATGCCAGCAGGAGGGGCCCATCACGTTCAAGGCTTGGATTTCTCAAGAGAAGATGCCGAAGTGTGAAAAAATCGGGGAAGGGGTTTTTGGGGAGGTTTTCAAAACCGAGACTGAAAAGGGGACCGTGGCTTTAAAAATAATCCCGATCGAAGGGAGCGAGCGAGTCAACGGCGAACCGCAGAAGACGTTCACCGAAATCTTGCCGGAAATCATCATCTCCAAAGAACTCAGCCTCCTCGCCGACGAGGTGGCTAACCGGACCTCGGGTTTCATCCGGTTGTATTCCGTTCATTGCGTCCAAGGCACTTATCCCGAGCATCTCTTGAACGCCTGGGACGAATACCACCGGCTGAGGCACTCCGAAAACAACCGGCCGGATTTCTTCAGCGACCAGCAGCTCTTCATGGTCCTGGAGTTTGAATTTGGAGGCACGGATCTGGAGAACATGAGGAACCGGCAGCTGAGTTCGGTGGCTTCGGCCAAGAGCATCCTGCAGCAGGTGACGGCTTCGCTGGCCATCGCCGAGGAAGCCCTCCGCTTTGAACACAGAGACTTACACTGGGGCAATGTGCTGGTGAGGAAAACCAGCTTAAAAGAAGTGGCCGTTACCCTGAATGGGGAAGTCCACCTCCTTCCCACTCAAGGCATTCTGGTGAACATTATCGATTACACCTTTTCCAGGCTGGAGAGGGATGGTTTAACGGTGTTTTGTGACCTCTCCACCGACGAAGAAGTGTTCCAAGGGGGAGGGGATTACCAGTTTGATATTTATAGGCAGATGAGAGAAGAGAATGCAAACAACTGGGCCGATTATTTCCCCCACAGCAACATTCTGTGGCTTCACTATTTAGCGGACAAACTTTTAAAAGAGGTGTCCTACAAGAAGAAGGCCACCTCTTCGTCCCTGAAGCAGATACAGAAGCAGCTCAGGATGTTCTCCGCGAACGTTCTCAATTTCAAGTCCGCCACCGAGCTGCTTAACCTAGGTACTTTCTTCCAGTGAATTGAACTTGAGCTTGGAGGACCGAGGGAGAACTTTTTGGCCTTCTCTCATGCTTCAAGGGGGGGGGGGGAATTCACATACGGTATCCCAATTCTTAAACCACATCATTGTCAAGAGTTGCTCGACTGCGTTGCTTTGCATTATGTTTTGATTAGAGGGAATCCCGACCTTCCCCCCCCCCGCCCCTTCCCCAAAACCATCATTTTTTTTTACTCCAAAAGATTTGTTTGATTTTAAATTTGCCCCCCCTCCCCCCAATTGCAAAACCCCTTCCTATTTTCCTAATTATCGTGGCTTTGTTTTAAAATAAAGCACAATCTTTTTTGTAACGAAACCTCAGAAAATTGACGCCAGCTTTACTTTTGCAGTATTAAATCCGATGAGCGCTTTTTATATTAATAAAACATTTCTATGTTGCCCAACCTGCATCTTTTTTTTTTTTTTTAATTTGACTGCAAAATATGATGATTTAACTCGGTGCAGCAACCCGGTTTGATCTCAGAAACAGCTGCTAAGCTTGGTTGGACCTGGTTAGTAGTTGAGTGGGAGGCCAGCCTGTCTTAAGTAAGGGCTGCACTCCCAGGGCTATGGAGCTAGTCCCCGACTTCCAACCATTTGAAGTCACAATGGCACTGAAAAGAGTGACTTATGACCATTTTTTGCAGATCCATTGCAGCATCCGCATGGCCATGTAGTCAAAATTCAGAGCCTTAGCAACTGCTTCATATTTATGACGGTCGCAGTGTCCCATGGTGACGTGATCCCCTTTTGCGACCTTGACAAGCAAAATCAACAGGGGAAGTCGGTTAATAACTGTTAGGAATTTGACAGACGCCGTGATTCACTTAGCAACCATGGCAAATAAAAAGCTCATTCAGCTAAATTAATTTTTCTGAGGTTTCGTTACAAAAAAGATTGTGCTTTATTTTAAAACNAGGTACGCGCTTTAATCCGGCGCACTTTAGTGGAACGCGGTTTTGACGGGTCACGGTTGACCTCATTACTGAGGTCCAGCCCCGATCAGATTGGGTGCATGGTGATTTTTAAACTGTTGTCTTTGTCTTTTTTAATTCTTTCTTTCTTTCTTTATTTATTTTGGATAATTCACTTCTGTAAGCCGCCCGGAGTCCTCCAGGATTGGGCGGCCTATAAATCCATTAAATACAATACAATACATATTATCTTGATTCTATACCTCTGTTAATGCAGTGTTAAGTTTGCATTGCCTTTTTTGGCTACTACCAAAAAATTAATAAAAGTGCTGGAGAGTAGAGGATTCAGGAGTGACCTTTGCAGAACCTCCCTTGAAATCTCTCTCTCTGATTTTGTAAGATTCAGAAATAAATAAATTTCAGTACTATGTACTAAAGTACTGTGGCAGCTATGAATCTACATGTCTTGCTATTCAGCTCAAAACAATCTTTAGTCAATGTTCTCAGTTACAACTATCCTTCTCCATTCCTTTCTCACTTGTTTGTTCTAGTGTTATATCATCCATAGCTGTGGTCAATAGATTTTTCATTTTTTCACCTAAAAGTTTACAAACGCATTCCTTCAAACTCCTTGTGCCATTTCTGGATTTTCAAGTCTTCAGATTTTCCCATAAGGTTTCTTGATATGTCAGATGGTGGAAGATATGAGTTTATTACAGGAAAAACCAGAAAATCAGATTTTTTTCCCCCTTGAATACGTGAAACCGTAAAAAGAATGATGGAAGATACAGTGCTCCAAATGGAAGAACACAGCATACTACTGAAGTCGGGCAGCAAATATCTGATTTGTAGTGGTATTTTTGTAATAAAAATGCATCTGTTCCTTCCAAACTCTATTCTTAAATGAAAAAAAAAAGTCAATTATTTTAGCTTTGCCGATCTTGGAGATATCACTTCATATATTCTTAACTTAAATAACATCCTTCCAAGACACAACTAGCCTGCCTCTCTCTGCCTGAATTAAAACTCAACTTCTTTCGGCAAATTCAGGAACTGACAAAAAGGAGGCTGACCAGTTGGTCACAAAGGCACAAACATATACAGAATACACTGCAAACTCAATCATAAAGATTGCAAGATTATCCATGATATTAAACCTGAGTACAAATTCCCCATTAACTTAGAAACAAAGCTTAAGGTGCATAAAAGGATTTATTAAAATGCAGAGAAATATTAGGTAGTACATATGTTTGTGCTTGTGAACGTGCCATCTAAATAATCCTTTTTTAATCCAAATTAAGCAAAATACAATGATTTGTAATGACATCACATACGAATTGCAGTTAAAAAACAGGGTCATTGCATTCATCTTGGTAGTATTCAGCTTCTTTGTGACATGTGGTATCTTGTCCAAAGCTTTCTGTTCACTTAGAGCACTTTTAATCATAGCATACAAAGTGCATAACGAAGCCCAAATTATTCAAGAGGTACAAACTGTACAGAATTGAAATGAGCCTGTAACCTTAGAGTTAAAAACGTATGATTATAAAATAATTGATTATCCTTTATTTTTTTATTGTTTTCCTTTTTTCTTCCTTTCACTTCTCTTTGATTTCTCTTTCTTTCCATTTATTTTATATTAGTTTGTATTAGTTTTTGTTTTATATATAATCATGTGTGTGTGTAGGTGTATATAAATCTGCTACAGCCCGCCCTGAAAGTCAACAATCATATCTGCCTTTACCTGAAGACAAACTTGGTCTACCAAATGATTCAAATTTCAGTAGATTTTCTAACTGGAAAAAAAAAAAAACAGGCATAGAACAAAAAAACAAGCAGCTGCAATGAATACATCTGCAAAACAACCCCCCCTCCCCGCCCCTCTGATTCAAATAGTGTCACATGGCCCTCAATATCCATTACTCGATCCATACCTGGAAGTGTTTTAACAAAAAATTCAGTTCCCCACCTGTAATTTAGTCTTTATAGAGTTTTGATCATAAAATAATAAACCATATTTTCTAAATTTATTTCCAAAGCAAACCTATCACTACTATTAAATAATGCACTATGCAATTTGTACATTGACTATTTATAATTCTCAGAATGTTCATCGTTATATACAGTAGTTGCCTTTGTTAATGTGCTGGATACTAAATCCCCTCAATATTTAATTTCGAACGATATCCATTTCTTTAAATATATGATGTGCACAAGACTGCTATTCTTCTGTTGACTTGGATTAGTTTCCTGTCCACAGTCCCTTTTGAATGTTTTTGGTTCAGTCATATTGGTAGCTTTCTTTCACAGAGAGAATGGCTAAGCCATAGTGCTATACTAGAAACATTTTATTTTAAACCCATTAGAGAAAGAAAAGAAAACCGTAACAAAAAATAAATAAATGATTGATTAGACTGATGTCCCGTGATGTGTATGTTTCCGGATGTCTGCTACCTTCATTACCCTTCCTGATTCCCCTCTCATTCTTGTGAGGATTCTCCTGATCAAAGCAATTCTGTGCCACCGCACAGCACCCAGTTTCAGAGCTGCCTACTCAGAAATGACGATGGGAGACTGTGGCTACGCTGGGTGGGGCAATTCATGCCAGAAATGGAACCTCCTGTTTGCTCCTTGGCAACTATGGTTCCTTGGCAACTATGGTTCCTTGGCAACTGTGATAAGATGAATGGGTAAACCTTCATTGATATCTGTTGCGGTACTGGATGTTGGAAGTTCCCTAGTAGTGGTCTCTAAAGGTGGCAAAGGCTTCGATGGCAATATACTTGTTTGTGTGACAAAAATTGGTTGAGCTGTGAAAGGCGACAGCTGTTTGGTGAAAGATTTCCCACGGGTTTCATACCCGACAGCTGTAGGTGTTACAGGCTTTGACTCTCTAGTGTTCCAGAAGAGCTGTTTCGTCCTGGACATTTCCACACTTTCTTTGGTTGTAGAAGAGATTACAGATTGAGACTGGGGTGCTTTTGTCGATATCGCAGATGAAAGCTTGCTAAGTTTGGAAGAGGTTTTAGACGATGCTTTTGTAATTGTTGTAGAGGTCCTTTGGGTGACCAACATTGTTACAGGTGATGTCGGTTCAGTTCTGGCTTTTACATTCTCAGTTTTGGGGAGGACCTGCCTTGATGGTGAAGATGTTTTGTTATCGTGGGATTCTGTAAGAGGTACATCATTGGCCGCTGGCAGTGATACGGTTATTTGAGAAATTGGGGCTGCTGTTGATACTTGCTGAGTTGCTGACGGCGTCTTGTTCATTGTTTCGGATATGCTCGATACACCTGAAGTACCCGGAGATAATTCTTGCTGAAGAGGATTTTCTAGGGATCCCTCCTGCCTTAGCCATTTTAGGTGGGTTAAAAGCTTGGCAGCCAAAATAGGACCAGAACAGTTGTGCAAACTCTGGCTCACAATGCCCATCACTTCCCAATTTGATGTACCTGGGTCATTGCACACCACTGGAGTACCTACAGGGACCTACAGGAGAAGAAGAAAGAAGGCATGAAAATCAACTAGGCAACAAAAAGAGACTAAAATACTGGGTGATTTTTTTGCTGGCGAATTGGCTATGCAGCTGAGATTTTTAATCACCGACACTGTTATAAAGGGCTGGGTTCAGCCAACATAACCAGACTTCTGACACATCCAATGAGTTTTAAACACAGATTTTCTTGGTTAGCAAATCCAAATTATTCCAGCAACACTAAACACTAAAAGCACAGAAACTATTCTGAAACAGATCGAAAAGGCTTTACCCCTGCTTTGAAACGGTAGCGTTCAGTTTGTAATTATGTAGTTAAATAAGACGGCCTTGGAAGGGTCATTATTTCAATGGCCTTCATAGCCATGAGTTCAGAGGTGGGTTCCTACCAGTTCGCACCTATTCGGTAGAACCGGTTCGTCAAATCTACCGAACCAGTTAGAAGAGATTCCACCAGTGGACCCGGAAAGTACTCCTCCGAGTACCATCTGCCAGTCAGTGTCGACTGGCAACCACACGGAGGAGAGCCTTTTCAGTAGTAG